CTTTCCCTATACACCATTGAAAAAGTAGATGCCATCATAAGAGAACTTCCTCAATTTTCTGTTATACCTAAAAACTTTCCTGAATCTATGCCCAGCTTTCTTGTTTTCCCTTTGATAACAGAGAGGAAAGAGTGTACTACTTCCTTCTAAAACTAGTTCTTCCATTTTTACTATGAATCCCTTCCCTTACTTGTCCTCGGGGCTCCTTGCCCTTAGTATTTAACCAAAACATTCAAATCTTTCCCATCTTTTAAGAAAACTCAACTTCACGTCTCCGTCTAGTTACTCTTCTTTCTCTCTCACTGTCTCTGGATGCTCTATTTTCTTCTTAACCCACTGCATTCTGGCTTCTGCTCTCTCCAGTCCACTGAAACTGCTCTCATTAATTGTGCTGTAGAAATAAAGATCAACTTATTGCAAAATTCAGGGTACTATTTTCAGTCCTGATCTTTCTTGACCTCACAGCAACGTTTAACCCTGTTGATCCCACATTCTATCTTCTCTTGGTTGCAGCCATCCTGAACACCTTTCAGTTTTTTAAATATGTTAGGCTCTTTTGCTTTCATGCATTTTCAGATGCTTTTCCTTTTGGCTAGACTACTCTTCCTCCAATCCCTTACCCACTTTCCCTAGCTAACTCAGTCTTGTCTTTTAGGCCCCAGTCCAGCCATCACTTATTCTAGGAAACATGCTCTGGCATCACTACCTACCACCTGCAAAAGACTGGATTGGGTGCTCCCTCTTTATATTTCCGTGACTTAATTGTGTCACAGGGTCAGCAAACTTTTCCTGTAAAGAACTAGATAGTAAATATTTTAGGTCAAAAGGCAGAGCTAAGATTATTATGAAAGTATGTGTATAACAAGAGAGAAAGCAAAAGTCCACAAATTTTTACTGTTGAAATTCAGAATAATTTTTGTTTTTGTAGTACAGGTCTACTAATGAGAAGAATAGAATTGCTTTTTGGGGAGTAACATTTTATTTAATTGGAGTTTAAAGTTAATGTTCCAAATCATCAAAATCAATTATAGGTGTTCATCTGTTCATGTTGATCTGTAATGAGATTTTATGTACTATACTGAGTTCACTTTTTTGTATGCATAATTCTGTTTGATAGATATTATAAGAGAAATATGATGAAATATAAGGCATAGCCCCTTTTCTCATGGAATTTATAATCTGTTAATAAAATTACCATTGCAATGGGAGAACTTTCTTAATAATGATAAGCATCACTGCTTTAGGAAAGATATGGAATAGTTCATTACAAGTGCCTAAAATAATTTTTCGAGACAATTTATATAGTTCAAACGATGGATACCTATAAAAACGTGAAGCCAGGAATGTCCTTAATTTTATTAGGGAGTCTGTAATGTGGCTTATGTTCGTTTATACTTTCAATATTGTTCTTTTTCTTTTTATATTACCATCTTTTAGTAATCTGTCATTTCATTATGCAATAGTTATTTCTCTTGACACAATCCAAATAGAAATGAATGATTTTATGTGCTGCTGTCACTTTTTTTACATTATTTTTTCTGTGATCATTAAAAAATAAGGCCATATGTTCTTAGATAAGTTTTATCTTCATCTGCTTATTCTCTTTAAACTTCTTTAAAAATAAAAGGCAGATTTATCTATTAGTTATTATACCAAGTGGAGCACATATTTAGACCATTTTAGGCCTTCCAATCATTTGAACTATATAAAAGAATAATAAAATTTCTTATTAGAAACCAATCTAAAATTGGCCAGTGGGGTCCAATTGAAAAATTACATTGCTAGCACCTACACATAAGAAAAGGAAGCAAAAGGGAAGGAAAATCCCTCTTTAATGTTTAGAATCAATAAGAAGATGGAAAGAGCCAATCACTGAGAGTAAAATGTAACTATGGGGTTACATCATTTATTGAGGTTAGAGGTTAGTTATAGTCTCCATTTATAGTTGGAGAACATTTACACTTTAAGACATTAACAATTCTTCAATAAATTCTTTTTTTTGTCTTTTTTTTTTTTCATGACCGGCAACGGATCGCAACCCTCAGTGTCGAGCCCGTACCGGGCCGGGACCGGCCACGGGATCGCAACCCTCAGTGTTGCTCCCACCCCTCGCTCAACCAGTGAGCGGCCGGTCTGTATGTGGGATCCAAACCCTCGGCGGGAGCGCCACCGCTCTTCCCAATCGGCGCACTATAGCAGTGCGCCACCGGGCCGACCCCAATTCTTCAATAAATTCTTTTTTTTGTCTTTTTTTTTTTTCATGACCGGCAACGGATCGCAACCCTCAGTGTC